ATGAGTGAATAAGTTCGACAACTGTGACGTTACTGAACAGTGTTTGTGTAGATTAGGGTAACGTCATCTTCTCGAGGCAAGGGAGTTAACTGACTGTAAAAGTCCAGTTTCCGATCTTGCTGAAAAAGACTGGAACTTCTGGACTCGATCGTTGCGCAACCAGTGGCTTAATATTGGCTATTGCGATTTATGTACCCTGTATGTCCTTCCTATTGACAAATCGGATCCACCTCTCATATCATTTGCATTTGCTTCAAATAAAATGGCGGCGCCCAGTTAAGAAGATCTGACCGATCATCAAAAGCTATATTGTGGTAAAACGGGTCTTTCTTCGCGATGTGCATGAAATGACGTTAGCACATTCATTAAAAACATGAAAAGATTTGGATAATATATGTTAACTCTGTGTTGGCGCTACACATGTTTTGTCGCCTCCGTGGTCTAGTGACCGCCCGGAGAGCGGAAGGTCCGGGGTTCGACCCCTGGCCGCGTCATAAGACGTTAAAAGATTGTACTTGTTTGTTACCCTGTCAGGCGCTCGGCATTAAGGGTATAAAACAAGGACTGGTCGGCACGGAGTCAGTGTGTCTGAGTGGGGTTTTCATGTTAAACTACGGCATGGTATCTCAGTGTGCTAAATTTTAGCACTATAAATCGGCATCAATCCGGACTAGTACAAGCAGCCACACACACGTGCATGCTCGTTGCAATAATCTTGGACGCGACGTTAAACCCCTTTTCACCTCACCACCAGGTCGTGGTTTTAACGCATACATAAAAAGTCATGTGATTTTGGTTGGCGCCCGCGAGCACGCTGTGTTTATAAGTCTTCGTACTTGGTTCGGCCAAGGAGTATTCTTTTGTACTGAAGAGGCAGTTTTACCGGCAGTTTTACCAGCATATAATGTTATTACGGAAGCCCTCTTCTATTTTACTTTGTTTAATATGTGTTGTTTGTAGTGGTATTAAACTGTGCCCGTCTCACACCTTGTGTTGTTGATACATTTATATGAAACAAATAATGATATATATGTATTACTGAAATACGGTATCCACTGACATACTTGTCTGTCTCAACAGCACCTACACCCACACACAAGTCTCGAATTGAATTTGAGATATCTGAAAAAAAGCTATTTGATAGATAGCTTGCGTGTCTATATGGAACGCTTGCAAACATTTAATTAACTTGGTATCCATTTCGCCAAGCCTGATGGTAGGTTTTTTAAAGTTAGAATTCTACAAACGGCACATTTCAATCCCAAACCAAATTGACAGTTTTTGGAGCATACACCTTCCCCCGTCTTATGTAATCATGATTGACGACATCAAATAACATCAAATGTGAATGTCTTTGGAAGTTAACATTTCCATTATGTAAGTATTTGATGGGTGTACATTTTCAAAGAAAGCTAGCCTTGTTCTGCGCATATACGTCCTTCACGCGAGTCGTCTGAGGCGCGATTCGCTGTGCAGAGTTGGGTGCGCTTGTCCCTTGGGCACGCCAGAAACCTATGACTTTGGATTCGAATCCCGGTTCGCCTCGATTATGTTTCTAGGTTTGTCAGTACCATACCCGTGCTCGTGGGTTTCACCGATGTGGTAAACGTTTCAGACCTGAATCGTTTCGGGCTTTCCTCTCACAGACTTTTTTTCAAATGAAATCATATAATGAATTTGTAAAGGGCGCTTTCCAGATTTAACTGCTCATTTCCGTTTAATTATGACAGATCTATTTAAACGCAAGTGCTCGAAAAGAGTATTTAACGTGTTCTAAAATTTTGTCAAATTTTCTGATTCTCTGATTTCTGACGGCAGCTTGTTCCAAAATCTGGGATTGTATGTTGTAATGCCCTGCAGCATCCCAAACATATTTCTGTAAAACGTGATAGATAGGGCATAATGATATGTAGAATTGGTAAAGAGTCTGATGGCGTATACATTCAGCAAATAGTATCACTTATATTTAGAACACATGTGAGAAGACAATTGCGTTAAGAGTTTTAATTTCTCCATGAGTATGTATATCTTCAGGACCACGTCTTGTTACGAACATCTAGATCTGAAGGCTCGGTTACAATTCATTACGTTTGGGAGACTCTTGCCGGCAGTCTGGCAGGTCAGAGGAGCAGTGTGGCGTTGGAGGGCAGACAACTCATGCAGAGCTGCCGATTTCAGCTATTCCAACAGCTTCTTCTTCTGGTCCTTCTCCGCCTTCTTCTCCGCTTCCAACGTACCCGCCAGTTCCTCCAGTGTGTTTTTTTCACTTCCCGGAGCTCAGCCTGCTCCATTGTTAAACAAAGTTTGTAGGTATGATCAATCTCATTAAAATCAGATCTCTCAGAGTTCTCGCTGCCGCTAAACAAAGATCTGAGGACATCCCAATACGGGTCACGTCAGAACGACCTTTCGCGAACTTTGACAGACCCCCGAAATGACTAACAAGAAGTCGACATCAGCCAATTGGAAAGCAGCTTTCTCGAGCTTAACGGCACTCGTTTCAACCTGGCGACTTCCATTTCAGACTATGCTTGAAAAAAATGTTGACACAGTTCTCGATTTAAATTTTGAAAACTGAACAAATGATTCCGGAATGTCTAATATACATTTTTTTCTTAGCATTTTCATGAATGCTCTTGCAATGTATATGTTACGAGAATAACGTCCGTTGTTACTTTTAGTGAAGGAAAAACATTCTCTTTGGAGACTCGAAAGTGGTCGTCACATCAGTGAAATATTAACAATGACACACACCCCATTTTCAACAGTGATATGTGCGTTAATATTTCGTGTCAGCCTACTGTTATCACGAAATCGTATACATAATACATGGAATTAAACGACCACGTCAATGAAATACCGTTGGCATCTTTACTTTAGCAAATTTGATGAAGTAAATGTCGCCGATTATGTCCCGTTTTCTCCTAATGTGAAATGGTGGTGGTTAATCGGAATTATTGAACGCCCAGTATCCTTAATAATTGTGTTTAATGATAGGGTCTGTCGTTGGTTCTGACATTTAGCCTCTGGATTTTATTCACATGAACAGCCATTTAATAAAAAATTTTAAAGAATAAAACCAAGTCTTGCATATGTTAGTTTTCATTCACCGCAGATTATGTTTTAGTGTTTTGTAACGGTGCCATGCGCAATACTACAACATGGTATTATTACAATGTTAAGTTAAAATACTATTACATTTTAATAATTTGTCTGATTTTTGTGTCTCTAAATTACAAGTTGTTGTTTCTTATTTTCTCACTTAAAAAATGTTTTAAAATGTGTTTTGTTCGAGTAGTCTCACTCTGAAAATCAGAGGGTGATGTGGCGAGTAGTTTGGTTACAATTGCTGTAACTTGTTCTGTATGATGGTTATAGTTTTATTCAGGTTATAGAGATTATCCCGTTGGCCTTTACCGAAGATGTACTGATGAGAGTTACTTCCCTTGGGAAGAATAAACGCAAGCTCATTTCCCAGCGCGTGACATCTTCGTTACACTCGTATAGTATAGAAGGCTGTGATATCGCTGTGGGGAACTTGGAATAAACGATGGTGTCGAACAATATAGTTGTCTTGATTCTCCCTGTGCAATATTAGAGATAAATAGCGCCCTAATACGGGTACATGGCACAGACGCCACAGTAACTTTAACCAGTTTGTTTCACCCTGACTTTTCACCGATTATATGAATGACGAGTCTGATTAACTTACTGAAGAGTGTAGTCTGAAATGAAAGGACTGTTTCTATTATTTTTCTGAAATGCTGTGTCCTGGAAACAAAAAAATATCCTCGGGTTTTACAACAACTCAGGACATGCTTTATGTTCAGGAAAAAATAATCCTCAAATATAATGACCCATTAAAGAATGATACCCTACAACCACTACTACTGTTCCAGCATGTATGAAGTATCATTAAGGAGTAAAGAGGAATGTTAGGTACCTTCTTTCCACTGGTATTTAGTTACAAAATACTCACCAGGGATACAAAACGTCCAGATGTTCGTCACCTTTGGCGTGTCAGAATCCCATGACCATGGGTTCGAATCCCGTGGGTTTCACTAAAACTGTGCACCCGTATTGCACCCAATATTGCACCCATTCCACACTTTGCAAACGCAGCTTTAGACCCAATTCACTTACTCACTCATGTGATAATTACACCAAAACAATTTGAACAGAGCTACAAAGACACAACAGCTTAACATCCACAATAGGATTTTATTACAACATTTCATTGATAACTGTTTAGAACAGGCGCGATACACATCAGATGGAGACGAAGGCTGTTCCGTGATGCGTCGCTAGCGAGTGGAGGGCTACACATCTTCTACCTGTGAACAGACGGGGAAAAATATATGAATAACGTTAACTGTGATACAATAATGAGAGGATAGCATGTGACGCTGTGTTTTGTGACGAAAATCTTTATCTATGTTTCACCTAGTGTATGATAACTCGAGGTCAGATTTCCCCCCGCCTCTCTTCCTTAGGGTTTTGCCAAGAATAAACTATGTGTCGTGATTTGTCCCATACATCAGTAGAAATAAATAGTCTTTGCAAAACATACTTGAAACGTGCGGATGATCTCTCTGAGCAAACTGGAAATGAATCAGCGGCATTATCAATATTATCTATTTAACGCAGGACAAATGTCTAATCCAATATTGATACACTTACTGAATGTTATGACGTTTGACATGAATTTGTATATCGTACAGTAAATGGGGATTTCTTAAATTATTTTCTAGTGAAGATAAAACTGGTCTCAAGTTTGGCGGCCAATTCAGTGGCGATTGAAATGGAAAAGTGTAGAAATAAAACTGGGAACCTGGGTTACTAACCCCACTTGGAGATTGCTGGGTAGAATAATTCCCCCACTCGACTGTGCTTCGACCGTGTGGGTCGTTGCTAATGCAGTCAACCACTGGTTTCCCTGGTCCAGACTCGATTACTTTACAGACTGCTTTGATATAGCTGAAATATTACTGAAGAACATTCACTCACTCACACACTTACGTATATTCAAAGACAGACTACAGTATAGGCTAGTGACTTGATGTCCATCGTCGGGATTTGGCCGGAATATTTCTATAAGCTCGTCCCTAGAGTCGATGAATGCGCCTCCTGCTTCGTACAGTTACATAAGACATCAAGGATGGATGTTGAATCCCGAATACCCTCTAAATAGACCCCGAGTCCCGCGTACCAACAGGTCACCTGGCACCCTTAGTATTGTAAGTCTATGTTATATGCTATAGCAAATATGTTGAGAGAGATGCAAAGAATCGAGTCAGAATCTGTAACTATCTGTTGTGATGAGTCCACACGAACAACCGATGATGCTGTAAACGTTATATGCAGTTTCTGAACATGCCACACGTTGCTTGATTGATTTTCGGGTGTTATTTAACAAAAGACAAAACAAAGGAGCTAAAACTAAAGACAATCTTTAATAGCTATTATTGATTGGTAATCGATTTAATCAAATAAAATAGAAGTTAAAACCTTGTCCGAAAGTGCCTAAATGTGTTAATCAAAATATACGTCTTTAAACGTATAATACAAATAGCGTATGAAAACAACCAAAAGCACAAAGTGTCCGAAAGGTCCGAAAATGCCAAAACCACAATATATCTGATATTTATGATTGAATGTAATTAATCATTATATGACACAGCGTTCAAGAATGAGTAAGATGTCACTCCAAGCGTCCATCTTGACACGAAACACTCGAAAGGGCCAAAATGTGTAACTGAAAAAAGCCAAAAGCACAAAGTGTTCGAAAGGTCCGAAAAGTAGAAAAAGATGTTCCCAAAATGTCCAAAACTGCCAAACGCACAAAATATCTTGTATTTATGGTTCAATATAATTCATTATTATACGACACATCGTCCAAGAGATAGCAAGATGTCACTCTAAGCGTCCATCTTGACACGGAACACTCTCCTCAAGAATCCTGACACACGTGACAGGAAGACTCGAACTTGGGACTGGGTCGGGGTGTCGTCATCAGCGAGGTTGATTTCGACGAAGTGAGGGGCATCACTGAGGACGGGGGTAGAGAGAGGGGCAGGGAGAGAGGTGGGAGGGGTGGGCAGCTCTGACAGGGGGTCAAGGATGGTCATGTATCTCCCAGGACGACGCTGACAGGGAGGGAGAGAAGGACATGTAGAGAGTGACAGAAGATTGAAGTAGCAAGTAGAGAAAGGTGAAGGTAGATGCTGGAAATGGATTGAATTTAAGGGATACTCATGATGCATAATGTCAGGAGAACGTTAGTGATAAAGATCTGTGGTTATTACTCCACATATACATTAGTTTGAAAGTCAATAGTATGCGTGTTAGTTAAAGATTATCTGGTTAAGCCCATACACTCATCAAATACAAGACACATTATTTCAGTTTTACAATAACTCTTGTAAAGTACTGATTCCTAAGACACCCACTTGGCGAGGAGGGGCCCAGATGTCAAAGTTCAAGGGGAACCTGATCACGAGGTCAACAGCTGTCGAGTAAGAAGGAATGGGAGTCTTAAAAAAGGATGAACAAGACAGGATCAACTGAACAGTATGTAAACGAGTTTTAAAAACATTCACAGTTATTCTGTTGATCCATTGTCATCGGAGTAAATATATTACACACTGAAAAGTGAAGGGCAATGATCAAATCACTGGATGAAGTCCAAACACTCTAAATATATACGATTACTCATCATCAATACAAATGACATATTAAAGTAATGTTTTGAAAAGCAGGATATACAGATTGTGGTATATACAAGTTGGAAGGAGGTGGAACAACATAAAATACACACATCTTTGTCACTGCTTACAACAGTTCCTGCTCCTGTTTTAGTACACTAAAGTCCTTACTCCTAATACTGAACACACATAGCAAAACCCTTAAAAAGGGCTAATTTCTACTGTCCTTATGATACCTATTGGGCAGTGTGGCAAGGACTATAGGACTAGTCTAAGGCTGCGTATATATATAACAAGCGAACACAAGTACATGAAGTGTTTTTGTACACCAAAGTTCTTGTATTTAAGAGTATGTGTATAGGTAACACTGTAGTCACTCTAGAAGTTAATATTAAATAGGTAGAAAAATGATTTCTTATTCCTCCAAGAGTATACATTTCAATCACAATTCAACTCAGTATGCTGATATTGGGCTATTAATGAATTGTATTATCATTGGTATTTGATTGTTGTGTCTACTTATTGAACAGCTCTATAAACCATGCATAGTAGAAACCAACATCCGATTAGGAGAAACAGCCTTAGAAACCCACACTACCTCACTTATTAATGACATGTAAACAATATATATAGGGCTACTAATAGCTGACCTATGCCTGCTGGCTTACATTCACAGAAACTCCTTAGTGCACATTGAAGGTAAAACTGCTGTAGCCGACTGAAAAGGGCCTAGTAAAGAAACTGTTAATAAGACAAAAAGGCAAATAACCTATTTTTTGGACAGGAAAACGAATCATTAAGGAATGACAAGTTCCTCTTCTGGGATTTCCAATATTTAATTACACAAAAACAAGTAAGAATTAGTGAATCCAAAACTTGAATGTGATGTGAGGGTAATCAAGGACCAATGGTACATTCGCCTCCTAAAACGTTTTCAGCCTCACACCATCAGCTCTGACAGTGGCCTAAGTGACACCGATGTGACTGTTCTCGACCTGGGTACCATCGATATGTGCCTGGGGTACACTTATATCTATCGAAATGTACCCTGAATGTATTGTTAAATGTTTTGGATCAAGCGTATCTCTCTTGGTATCCCCTTATCAGTCCCCATAAAATCGATGGTATCCAGGTCGAGAACGACTCCATCAGCCTAAAGTCGAGTAGATATCGCTAGATAAAATAATTTAACACGAATGTGTTTATTAACAGATTCAAAGTGTTGAAAAATCGGTCTCAATTAAAGTGATAAGATCTGAACACTGGACAAGTGATCATCATCTTTGATGGCAGTATGTTCTGAAAGTTTCTTCTTTTTCTATCGGCCAGATCGAGGCCTACTACAGATTTAATTCAGTAAATAAGTCATTAAACTTAAAGAAGGAAAAAAGTCAAACTTACTCATTCAGAAGTAATGACATACCTTGGGCGTAGGAGCTCATAGTGTGCAGAGACGACGGAGAGCACAATACGAGGCAAAAAGCAGCAAAATAGTAGTAAGGTGACAGCAATATGATTATCACTACAATGGCGATATCAGCAAAGAAGTGTCGTCATGGCGACGTCATAAATCTCGCGAGACTGTCATATTATCACGTGACGTTACAGCTTGTTGGGTGGCATTCGTCACCACTCGCCCCTTTCCGTCACCTGCAAGAAGGCTTGTCCCGGAAAAGCACGAGTTGGTCACGAATGGTTGGGTGGTTCAAAACGAGTGAGTTCGCACTGAGCAGCGTTAGAATTTGGCACTAGTCGGATAGACCTTGCCAGACTGGAACCCAATTGTTACGGTGTACAAGTAGAAATTTGCCGTTTTAAAGGTTTTTGCCACTATAAGTACTAGTGTACTAGTTAGTTTTTATCGCTTCTGAGTTGTCCAGATTGTCTGCATATCAGACAAGACGCAGAGCATCAAAATGTAGCAGCCAATAGGCTTCCGTATAAGGTATGATGTTAGAAATCTTTGGAATACAGCAAAATAAATAATTGAAACGGTCGTTGTGGATTTGACTGGACACACTCTTCAGAACTGTTAATGCTCGACCTTCATATCGTGTCTGTGAAAGTTAAGGTGAACTGTAAACTAATAGTCAGTGTGTTCCGCAATCTGATTGGTCAGCCTACCTCGTCGATTATCATTCAATTCCCATAAATCTACATAAGCCTCTGGTTAAATCACAGAAATGGGCACATTGCCAAGTAATTGTTTGCAGGATGCTTATTGTTGGATTTGTAGTCCCGGATGCTGCGTTGACAAGGCAAACAACATGCTTGTTCTAAGAGGCGAATATGCTTGAGGCGACTATGCTTCTCGTAAGAGGCTACTAACTGGATCGGGTGGTCAGGCTCGCTGACTTGGTCGATGCATGTCATCGTATCTGAATTGCGTGGATCGATGCTCATGATATCAATTACTGAATTGTCTGTTCCAGACTCGACTATTTACAGACCACCGTCACATAGCTGGAATATTGCTGAGTTCGGCGTTAAGCAACAAATAACCAAAAACTAGTTGACGAGACTCACTCAAAGATACGAACATATTCCAAGAGTTAGTGATGTTGATTTTATTAATTGTTCTGTAGATTGTAGTTTGATACAATTGTATGAATGTCAGAAACTCACTGTAGGTATACAAACATAAGGCTTTACCTTTTTCTTAATGTAACAGTTCCATTTTGTTGATGAACTCCATTCATCATTGTGTACTGATTTCAAGATATTCGCGGGAATATATTTGTTGTACAATAATGATAATAATCATATTTCTCTGGTAGCAACAAAACGTTAAGGTCTACACCTTTAAATGTAAGAACATGTGTTACGGGTGTTGTTTTATTACGGTGGTTATAATTTAGTTCAAATATGTGCAAGGTATTTATGATGAATGTTCATAGCATTTTGTTAGAAGAAAAAAACAAGTCTTGCACATGTTAGTTTTCATTTTAACCACAGATTATGTTTTAGTGTTTTGTAACGGCGCCGTGCACCATACTACAACACGGTATTATTACAATGTAAAATTTAAATACTATTACAATTTTATAATTTGTCTCTCTTAAAACTTGTTACAAGCTGCTTTTTCTTATTTTCTCCTTTCCAAAAATGTTTGAGTGGTCTCACTTTGAAAGATAAGGTTGATGTGGCAAGTAGTTTGGTTACAATTGCTGTAACTTTGTTCCGTATCTGACGGTTATAGTTGTATTTTTTAAGGGAGATAATCCCGTTGGCCTTTACCGAAGATGGTGTACCGATGAGAGTTACTTCCCTTGGGGAGAAAAGATGGTGTCGAACAATGTAGTTGTCTTGATTCTCCCCGTGCAATATTGGTGATAAATAGCGCCCTAATACGGGTACATGGCACATACGCCACAGTAACTTTAACCAGTTTGTTATATTGTGACTTTCCACCGATTTAGGCGGTATTTTACATATATTAATGACGAATCTGATTAACTTACTTAAGAGTGAAGTCCGAAATGAAAGGACTGTTTTTATTATTTTTCTGACATTCTGTGTCCTGAAAACAATAATGTCCTCGGGTTTTAGAACACTTGCCGTGCTGGATGTTCTAACAAAATAATCCTATATTATCACTGGTTAAAGAATGTTAGGTACCTTCTTTCCACTGGTATTTAGTTACATTCACCAAGGATACAACACGTCCAAATGTTCGTCGCCTTTGGCGTGTCAGAATCCTATGACCATGGGTTCGAATCCAGTGGGTTTCACTTAAACTGTAAGCGCTCAAGACCTGCATTCCACACTTTGCAAACGCAGCTTTAGACCCAATTCACTCACTCACTCAAGTGATAATAACACCATAAGAATTTGAACAGGAATACAAAGAAGCACACAACAGATTAACATTCACAGCAGAATTTTATTAAACGTTTCACTGATACGTGTTTATAACAGGCGCGATACACATCAGATGGGGACGAAGGCTTCTCAGTGATACACCACTAGCGAGTGGAGGGGTTGGCTTCGGATCTTCCTGTGAACAGACGGCAAAAATATATGTACAAAGTTAACTGTGATACAATAATGAGCCGACAACATTTGACAAAGTATTTTGTGACGAAATTCCTTATCTGTAATCGGTGTTTCACCTGTTGTATAATCACTCGAGGTCATCCGATCTCTCTGAGCAAACTGGAAATGAATCAGCGACATTATCAATAATATCTATTTAACGCAGCGTTTGACACATTTGACACATGTCTGATCCAATATTGATACACTAACTGACATGTTATGACGTTTTACACGAATTTGCATATCGTAACGTAAAAACTGGTCTCAAGTTTGGCTGCCAATTCAGTGGCGATTCAAATGGAATCTTGTAGAAATAAAACTGGGAACCTGAGTTACTAACCCCACTTGGAGATTGCGGGGGAGAATAATCTCCCCACTGGACCGTGCTTCGACCGTGTGGGTCGTTGCTAATGCAGTCAACCACTGGTTTCCCTGGTCCAGACTCGATTACTTTACAGACTGCTTTGATATAGCTGAAATATTACTGAAGAACATTCACACACTCACACACTTACGTATATTCACGACAGACTACAGTATAGGCTAGTCCCTAGAGTCGATGAAAGCGCCTCCTGCTTCGTACAGTTACATAGGACATCAAGGAACTCTAGGACATAGGACCAACTACTCTAGCATTATTTCGAATATGCAAAGGGGCAGGGTGGCCAAGGGATGTTTGGTATCTGTGTAATTGCGTCCGTCACTGTACCAGGACCCAATGATCGTGGGTTCGAATCTTGGATTCTCCTTGGTATTGACCCCTGCTCTGTCAGCACCCGACCCGTGCTAGTGGTATCCGCCTGTGACCTGGGTCAAAGCCTCGTTAAACCAAACTTACTCACTCACTCTCGGTTATGAAACGTAGGCTCCCAATGGGTGGTCTCTAAATCATGATTGTCATTTCTGTACGATTTTAATCAAATCCAGTGTTCAGCAGTACCAGGACAGAACTAATCTGGGATCTAATTTGGGTCATATGACTTCGTTAGGGAGGGTGGGGAACAGACTCCAGGGACTGTATGCACAAATTGATCTTAGTGGTACAAGTATTGAGGGTGCAATTGCTCACCCCTGAATATCGACTACTTACCGCAACACTCAAAAGCATTGAGGAAAGGGTGCAATTAAACTTCAATCACAGAAAAAAATATAATATATAAAGGTTTTTGTAACCTACACCTTTATTTTAGAGATGTTGAATCTGCGTATCAAATACGATTTTCTTTTGCGTCCCGCGTACCACACTGCTGAATACCCTCTAAATAGACCCCGAATCCCGCGTACCAACAGGGCACCTGGCACCCTTAGTATTGTAAGTCTATGTTATATGCTATAGCAAATATGTTGAGAGAGATGCAAAGAATCGAGTCAGAATCTGTAACTATCTGTTGTCATGAGTCCACACGAACAACTGATGATGCTATAAACGTTATATGCAGTTTCTGCACATACCACGCGTTGCTTGTTTGATTTTCAAGATCATGTGTTATTTAACAAAAGACAAAACAAAGGGGCTAAAAACAAAAGACAATCTTTAATAGTTAATATTGATTGGTAATCGATTTAATCAAATAAAATAGACGTTAATACCTTGTCCGAAAGTGCCTAAATGTGTCAATCAAACTATACGTCTTTGAACGTATAATACAAATAGCGTATATTTCTGGGGAAAAACAACCAAAAGCACAAAGTGTCCGAAAGGTCCGAAAAGTAGAAAAACGCCCGAAAGGTCCAAAAATGCCAAAAGCACAAAATATCTTGTATTTATGATTGAATGTAATTAATTATTATATGACACATCGTCAGAGAGGTAGCAAGATGTCACTCTAAGCGTCCATCTTGACACGGAATACTCTCCTCAAGAATCCAGACACACGTGACAGGAAGACTCGAACTGGGGACTGGGTAGGGGTGTCGTCATCATCGAGGTTGATTTCGACGAAGTGAGGGGCATCACGGAGGACGGGGGCAGAGAGGGGGACAGGGAGAGAGGTGGGAGGGGTGGGCAGCTCTGACAGGGGGTCAAGGATGGTCATGTATCTCCCAGGACGACGCTGACAGGGAGGGAGCGAAGGACATGTAGATTTAAGTAGCAAGTACAGAAAGGTGAAGGTAGATGATGGAAATGGACTGCATTTACAGGATACTCATTATGCATAATGTCAGGAGAACGTTAGTGATAAAGATGTGTGTTTATTACTCCACATGTACATTAGTTTGCAAGTCAATAGAATGTGTGTTAGTTAAAGATTATATAGATAAGTCCATACACTCATCAAATACAAGACATAGTTTCAGTTTTAGAACAATTAGTAAATTAATAATTCCTAAGACACCCACTTGGCGAGGAGGGGCCCAGATGTCAAAGTTCAAGGGGAACCTGATCACGAGGTCAACAGCTGTGGAATAAGAAGGAATGAGAATCTTAAATAAGGATGAAGAAGAAAGAACCAACTGAACTGTATGTAAACGAGTTTTAAAAACATTCAGTTATTCTGTTGATCCATTGTCATCAAAATCAAATAACATAAC